CATACATATATACCTACATACATACATACATATATATATATATATATATATTGTTTGAATACATTTTTCAGTACCTTGCGTCCCCGATGTGGAATAAAGAGGAAGCCGGTCATTAAAGCCTTGACATACAATGTAATTTTTTACAATCTCAAAATTGTATCAGGATGGGTGAATGTCTTCTTAAAGACTCCAAAAGGCAACTTGCCAAATTTCGTCGCAATCCTACTTGTCTAAGACAGTGCAAACAAAGAAACAATTTCAAAAAAATTAACCTCTAGCACCCTGAAATTGACCCCATAACTAGAATTCTATTTTCAATGTGTAAAATAGCTGTGGGACCACAACTATTGGATCTTGCATGGTTGAAAACCTCAAGGGGTCAAGTTTCGGCTTAAACAGACGTGTCAAGACAAAATTATGGGTGAACAGTAAAAAGGGGTAAGCCACACACTATTCCCATGCGGCCTCCCTGTGCCAATCTCTATTAAAGGAGACTGGTGTGCACAATCATGAGCAGCAACTTCGAAGACTTGTATCTCACTCATTTTGAGTCAGATTGCCCCCAAACTTTTTTAAGTGTGTTCATGTCGTCAAGACAAGTGTTTTGATATGTGGTACACCCTGTAACAATGCCCGAGCAAGGAGAAAAACTAGAAAGAAGTTTGTGATTCGTGGAAAAAGTTACAGAAAATTCAGCAGCGACACGCCTTGCTCGAGCGGTCAAATCACGGTGCTCGCATAACGGATCGACGAAGACGAGTTCCATCGCGTGTGTAAGGTATAGGGCTTTGTCTGGTCCGAACCCCATGCGGATGAACTTTCAAATTTTACACGAGAAGCCAATAAAGTTGCTGCAGATTCCGGTCACCGGATTTCAGATTTCAGCCAAAACTTAAGGATTGCGAAATCTTCGTCCGGGCACGAAATCAAGCTACGTTTATCACAACGCGATCATAACGGTAAGCTCAGTGCAATTTAACAAAGAAATTAAGCAAAAGTGTCAGGAAACAAGAACACTACCGATCATAAGTTTTCAAGATCTATATAACTTTCAAGTTGCGTGATCGTGGCTTAAAAACATGATCCTTGGCTCGAAGTTGGTACCAAGTTGATCATCATGCCGAGCCCAACGAGAAAGTAATTATCTTTCAGCCAA